CAATAGATTACAATCCTAAAAAAAAAAGAAAGAAAGAAATTGAATACACTATAAATGTACAGGTCCCAGCTCGGAACTGGTTTGGCTGTACTGCCTGTCACAGATTGACTTATCAACTAGATTGATCAACTACATGAACACGCTTGGCTGCAATACCTGTCACCCATCGACTGGTGACAGATTTGTTTAATCAACTAAATTGTCTGGGAAGTTCCTTCTCCCCTGTTTGGCAAACACTCTTCTCGGTGCGTCCTCTCCGAGACTACTCACTTCTGTGGGGAATCCAGTGTGCCAAAACATTAATTCACTCAACAAACATTTACTGGGTATCTACTACGCTCTTTTCTGGGCTAGGGGACTGGAACATAATGGTCAAAAACAGACCAAGTTGCCAGGTCAATGGAGGTTACAAAGCACCTGTCTCAATTTACACTGCCACCACCAGCACATTAAATGTTCCCACTTCCCCACGTCTTAGCCAACACTTGGTGTTATCAGTCTTCTTAATTTTGCAGTTTGATAGAAGTGAAATAAATGGTATGTCATTACTATCTAATTTCCATTTTTCTGATTAGCAATGAAGTTGGCAAATTATTTGGCACCCAGTTTTGAAACAGCACATAAAAGATTGATCAGCTTAAACTAGTTTTGCTTCCTTAAAAAGGGTCGTTGATTAATCAAACCTTGCTCAATAACAGCACTGAGCATGTGCCAGGCGGGAACCCATAGCCCCAGGATGACCCTGGAACCAAGAATCTTCCTTCAATAAGGAAAATCTAGCTTCCAGCAGCCTAAGTAGCTTGATTACCATATATGGACTGATTTGGACTAGCCAATCAGCTTACATGGGCCCAGCTGTAGCTTAGTAGCCCCTAACTCCTTAAATTTTGTCCTGAACCTTGGACTGGGGAGACAGATTTGAGAGCCTTGCCTCCCATCTCATTGCCTGTCAACCTCACAATAAAGCTTCTTCTTTTCCGAAAAGCCTGTGCGTAGTATTGTCTTCTACACTCATCAGGCAGTGAGCCCTTTTACTGGGTAACAGTTTCCTCTCATATATTTTCAGTTCATATCCTTGGCCCATATTTCTATTAGACTGTTTGTTTTTCTTATTGATTTGCCGGAGTTTGTCACATATTCTGTATACTATCTTAGGTCTAGTTCCCAGAAGCAGATCCTGCTACAAGGACTCGTGTACAAGTGATTCACTGAAGAAGCATTAATTTAAGAAAGGATTTATCAAGAAAGTAGATATTTATAGGGGAAACTGGTAAGAGAGTGGGGGAAGCAGGACGGGAAATGGGAGGAAACAAAGCAAGAGTGTGCTCTCAGGCAAAGTCCTGCAGAAGGTCGTATCTGCCTAATCCCAGGGGACGCTGGACCCACCTGTCATTGGCTAAAGGTCACGTTGTAGGATGTGAATTCCGACGCATTTCTAGCTCTCTGTGTGCGTGGGCACAAAGTGACTCCAGCAATCTTTTTAAACAGAGCCACAGATGTTAGCTGTTGGAACCAAAGAGACACCAGGAGGGAAGTGGATGCACAAAAAACGGTCAAAAGGAATCTAAGGTGATCTGGGTGGAGAACTGATACCACCCACCATAGACAATAGTATTGTGGAAAGATCACTCAATTTCACTATTAATTCAAGAAATACAGACTATGACAGTAAGATATTTTCTACCTATCACATTTACAAAGATTTAAGAGTTAGTCAAAAGTTCTCACCACAGAAAAACATTTTTTTGGTACTATGTGAGGTGATGTGTGTATCAACTAACCTTATTGTGTAATGAGGTTGCAATACCTACAGATACAAAATCACTACACTGTACACCTTAAACTTACACAGTATATCAATTATATCTCAATAAAGCTGGGGAAAAAACCAAAACAGAAAAAAGAAACTAATTTGTATTGTATATTATTAATAGAAATAGAAAATATATTTTTCATTCCACTTCTGAACTTTATTTATATATTCCACATATCTTCCTGGATATTTTGTGGAATGTATAAGAAGGAAAAAAGCAAAAGATGTTAATGTTCACACAACCCAAATTTGACTATTTCTTTTGAAACTGCATGTCTGTAGTAAAATTTCTCAATCTTCAAAAACAAGAGGTAGGCACTGTCCAGCTCTAGGTTGGCAAAAGCGAAACAGCACTTTGCGTACGTTGTTGCTGGAAGTATAAATTGGTATGGCCCTTTTTTCTCAAAAATATTTGACAGAATCTATCAAAATTTAAGATCACCTACCTTTTGATGCAGCAATTTCTTTCCCAAGAATTTATCCTCCAGCCATATTCATGCAGGAGCAGGCTGTGTCTGCAGCACTATTTGTAAAGGCAAAAACTGAAAATAACCAACTGGCTACCAACAGGGGACGTCCACACAAGAGAATACTCTTTGTCGTTAAAAATAATGAAGTATTCAACTCAGCGGGATAGGAAGATGACTATGAGATACTGGAGAGATTTGCTGCTTGCTGTGTGACCTCATGCAAGTTGCTTACCCTCTCTCAACCTCAATTTCTTCATCTGTAAAGCGAGGATAATATTACTGAAGTAATAGGGTCTCCATGCAGATTAAATGAGATAATACATATCAAGTTTTTTACATAGGGCCTGGCACACAATAAATGCTCTATAAGTATTAGTAATATCATTGTTATTGTTAGAGGGAAAAAATGAAAGCTTCAAAACAGCATGAATAACTGCTTTTGTTAAAAAAATCCAACCTATACCATAGGAAAAAAAATCTAACATACATATTTTTTAAAAGTCTGAGATTTGGGGGATAGAGAACTTTCCCTTTTTACTTAATACATGCTGGTATTTATAACAGTTTCAACATTGAGCATGTTACCTTAAAAGTGACGATGAAACGTGGTTTTTAAAAAGATGCGCGTGACTTGGACTCTGGAGTGTAAGTTGTTTCCACCAGCATCTCCTCTTTCTGCCGTTTAGCTGAAAGCATCTGTTTAAAAACACGCTTTTGCTTAGAGTGCTGTCACCTAGGGTCTCTGTGGAATGGACAGAGGTATTGTGACAGTGAGGATCGAGCGACTCAGACAGAGAAGATATTCTGTCACCAGCCCACACTCAGAAAGAATGATGAGCTGTTTTCAGTTTTGACAACAAGAAGCTGTGCCATACTGTTAATCACAGAAGAAAGACTGAACCTTATAGCTCTGATGATGTCTCAGTCAAATCGGTGAGGGTGTTGGAAGGACAGTGTGATTTTTTAAATGTACATATATATATATACTTAAAAAAAAAACTCAGTGGGTTACTTCAACTGAAGTGGAAACCAGAACACTGTGGATATCTAGAATATTGAAGACCAGGCATTTGAGCCAAAAAAATGTTTGCCTACACAATTTTCTTCCTTTCATTGTCTGCCAGGAGGGTTACATAAGCCTCTCCTCGGTCCCACCCAGAGCCCTCGGCAGAAGGAACACACACAAATCATGAAAAGACAAAGGCTCCGAGTGGAAATTCAGTTGTATTTATTTTTCTTATACAGAATCAGAGAAGTAAAACCAGTACCAAACTCCAGGCAAAATGGTTTGATCTGATCGACTTGGCTGCCTATTTTCCATACAAACAGCATTCTAAGTTAAAAATAAACACACACGTAGGTCATATTACAAAATGTAGAAGGAAGTTTTTTACAAGTTAAAAGTCCTAGCACATAAACGATGTAGTGTGTTAGGGAAACGGTCTCTGTCAATCGCCCATTTTCCCAATAAAATTAATCTACAATTTTCTTTTTAACAGCTTATTTTTTTCATAAAAGTAGTACTTGCTGAAGTTACTTTCTAATTACATCATGAGAACACAATTTGTAATTAGCAACTTCTCTCACTCCAGCTCACCACCTTCTACAGAGAGCTTTTCCACCATGCAAGGGTCACCAGCACACTAAATTTTTCACTCTGTTTTACGTGCTTCTCGTATAGGGTATAATCAGTGAAAGAAATGGCATTTCACATCCTAAATATTATGGTGAAACACTAACAATTACTTAGACTTATAGAGCTGCAAATAGGTTTTGACAATGTATTTACTTGAAGAAAATGTGTTTTATGAGGAAAAAGATACCTTGAAAGAAAGATCTCTGAAATTATTTTTCAATTTCAATTTTTCATATGCCTTTTCTATGGCAAAATTATTGGATGAAATGTTGAAATTGATTGATTCATTTAGGACTAAAAAGACAAGATATCCTGGCAGTTGTTTCATAATAAGAAATATAGTATAAATAGCACCTTATCATGAATTCTGCAGGGGTTTTAACATCTACAATCATAGGAAATATCTTCTAAAAAGTTGTTTTTACTTTAAATTTCTACCTTTAGTGTTCTTTAACAAAGGCCATATTTTATGGCCTTAAAAACAAACAAAAAAAGTATATCTGGCTTTATCTATTAGTAAACATGTAGTCAGGGTCCGTATTTAATTCTCGAAAAATATTTGTTATGTTCATTAATAAATGTTCCAGCTAATTTCACTAAAAAAAATCATCTAGTGTTTTCTAATACCACAAGCTTACTAGGAAATTACTTCTAAAAATCGATAATACAAATCATCGATGCTTTAACTACTTAAAAAAAAAGAGGGGTATCTGTTTCTTTTATGTTTAATAACCTGCAAATGAGTCTATAAAAATATTATTTAAAAAATACAGTAACACTGCTCAGTTTTGTTAGGTCCCTTGTTTTTGTTTTTTTTTTTTTCCTTAGAAAGAATGTACAACTCTTTTTGCAATTATTGCTAACAAAAGAGAAAAAGAAATAGTGCTCCCTTCAATTTAGTAGCAACATAAACATCTACCCCCATCTCTCTCAGAGCGCCTAGAGAGAGAAGGAATCAGAGGAACATAAACTGTGGGTCCTTCAGGAAAAAGAAATCACTTCATTGTGTTGGAAGCAAAAGCAGGTTTCAGCTCCTGCCTGCCTACCTGCTCAGCATCAGCGTGGATAGGGCAGCACAGGCCCTGCCCCCCCCCCCCCCCCACAACCCCACATAAAGTGCACCGAAGCCTCTTTTCTTCTACAACAGGCTTTTGGTGTAAAGGTTGTAGGAGAAAATTGTTGCTTTGTTCTTTTGGGGCACCTCTCATCCTCCTGCTTGTCTTGCTTTCGGCGTTCTCTAACTTGTCTATTTCCATTTCACAACTAGTATCCTTTCCACTAGATTCCATAACTTCACTACTTCACCTCTGACCTTTTCACTTGCCTCCTTTCCAACAAGATAAAATGTATTCTGCCTGTCTATATTCTGGTAGATCGAAAAGGATCTTATTTAAGATCCCCCCCCAAAATGAGCCCCCGTGGGAATGAAAGGTTCCTCTCAGCGACCTGAATTATTAGTGTCTTTCAAAAAAGATATTAAATTCATAGATTATAAATAATGTCAGTTCAAAATATTAAACAGTTGAGGACTTCATTGGCAATGCAGGCAGAGTGTGTGCCAGGGGACCCTGACCTCTCTCTCAGTCCTTAAAAGCTAAGAAAAAACGTTTTTGGTTACATAAGAGGTATCGAGTACATATTTCATACCTTTTTATACCAACTGTAGCAAAGAGGGTTAGGATAATATATTTAGGAATCAATTTTACTGAATTCAGAAACATGTCTCCACCATACACCCTCAGAGGGTATTTTTTACGTCAGTCAGAGATCTGCTTCATCCTTCAAACAGTTTCATAGATAAGATTATTTTAAACACTTAAAATCTTGAAAGCAAAGCTGACAAGGCTTCAGAATTTATAAAGCTCACTGTGTATGCCATCAGGCTGAAGCTATGTTGTCCTGATGTGTTCAGAACAGGTTCAAAAGACAAACATAGTTGCCACAGATTTATCAAAAACATTTGGCCGCCCTTTGTCATCAGCTACAAAATTACAGTGCTTTATAAAAGAAACATCAAATTCTAAGCTGCAATTTTTAAAAAATTCAACTTGCAATTTTAAAAAGATTTGTTTAATAAATGCTCATGATTAATACCAAACTGGTCTCTTTCATAAGATCTGTAGTGTAGGAACTGTCTCTAAGGCTGCTGCTCCTCCGCTGCTGGAAGGACTAGTTGTCTAGATGCTATGCAGTAAAATGATGCAGGGTAAACTACAATAGGACTGTGTGTGCCTTTGGAAATACAGAGTAACAAGAACCATCAGAACCAGCATGGATTCAAAACTACATTGTATTCCATACAGCAGAATGTTACTATCCATACAATGATTTTTAAAGCTCAAGTTAAATATTTTTTAAAGCATTTGGTACTACTGTCATCAATACAGTTTTTGAAACTGTAAATCAGATCTAATTTTGTGTACGTTTCCGGGACCGAGCCACCTGTCAGAAGTCACTGCCTGTGGTCAGCTTTTTATGGTTTATAATCAACTGATGTAGAAATTTCAACTAGCATTCATAAAGCTTAGCCATGGGGCAGCAGAGAGAAAAATGGAGAAGCAATTCTGCATAATCAATTCTGCAGAAACAAATCTGCATAACCCATCACAGGCCTGCAGGCTTGCAGAAAATGAAAATAGAATATTTATTTATGTTTAACTTAAGTTACTGTCAATCAAATCCAGGCAATGATTCAACTGGCCGCATGGAAAGGAGGGAGCATGAGTTAGGGAGGCAGAAAGTGGTACACCTGCGACTCACTCTACTCCATGGCTTTTTCCAAGAGGCCCCGGGAACGCCAGGTCACAGCTGCACCCACGTTACAATGGTGCTGATTACAGCCAGGTTAGAAAGGGCTCGCTTTTGTTCAGAGCAGACTCGACATCATTGAAGAGGGGGATCAGATCTTCAGATTCCAAAGTTCCTAGGTCAACGTTTGTTCCCGGAAGGCAGTCAAGAAAATCAGGGAAGCGGGTCTGCTGAGGATTGATGTTCATGGGCGTCTGTCCTGCGTTTTCTCCTATAACAGAATGAAAGGAAACCATTTTATTTCCTCTTTTTTAAGCTCTTGAAAGAGAGACAGTTCAAGTGTTAACATAACTCTCATCCTCATTTCCACTTCGCCTGCATTTAAAAAAGATTATATTGCTGCAGGTCTAAAATATTTCATCTCTGTGCAAAATTTCAGCCACCACATGACTGAAACTGAGTTGGTGATGCTCACCCGTAAGGGATGCAGAGATGCTGGGTGAATCTTTAATTGTTCTGGGTAGATGTGGTCCAGAATGGACAGGTCCAGGGAGACAGGAAAGGAGCCTATGAAGGCACTGTGGATCTGACCTACAGTCTGTGCCTTCTTGTGACAGCCACATGAAGAGCTGTTTGGTGAAAGAGTAGAGACGCCCTGCCTGTAATAAACACCTTATCACAGAGCTATAATCTAAGGATTTAACTGTAAGCTTATATTTACCCATATCATCCCTCTTTATGTTCAAAGATAGTAGTGAGGAGTTTCTTTTAACCATGTTATTAAAAAGCTGTCTTCATTGATGGCTCTAGGGATCATTTTCAAAGTATTTTATAAAGTGGGCTCTGCAGATCGTCCCCCTCCCTTCACACACACATACACCCCACAACGATCTATCTTTCTCACAATGCCTGAGTCACAAGGCATGGGAGCACAGCAAGGTGCTGAGAAGTCTTGTAGTAAAGGAATCTGTTTTATTTTGTTTAAGTCATTATTACCTAAACTTATTTAATCATCTAATCCTGTTTTGGCAGAATTTATATCCTAACAGAACTAGAGTCTGAAGAACATAGCTGAGAAAAGGCTGTTTGAGAGGCAAGTTAAGTGGCTGGGATATGACGTGGAGGCTGCACGTCCTTGACGAGTAACAGTACAAGAGAACCTGTGCTGACCTTTGTGCCAGGAGACAGAGCTTTTTAGCTGTGTGACCTCTGACCTTCAGTTTACCCATCTGAAATTGGGATTATAGTACCTTCTTCACAAATTGGAGAATGGCACCATACAACGCCTGCCACACATCCACGGCTCCAGGCATCATTCATACATACAAACTCACACAAAGACAAAAATACAGTAGACGTTGGTTGATTGTGCCGAGAGAAAGAAAAGACTAGGACCTCAATCGCTGTGAATTACACAAGATCAGAACGGCCAGTTAATTCAAATGGCCCCATCAATTTTCTGAAGGGGTAAAATATCCCTCAAGACTGAGAAGCACTGCTAACTAAAGCCAGTTTCCACCACAGAATCATTTTTAAGAAACTTGTTAAACTAGCGTTTGTCTCTTACAAGTACAGTAGCCATCCTGAAAAGCATGCATAGAAATCTCACTATTCTGAGCAAAACCAGAGAAAACTCATTTTAACCACATGCATTTTCCAAGGAGATCGTAGGCATCTCTCCGAGTGATAGGAAAACATATCAAACTTGCATTTTGGTGACAGCAAAGCTTAGTGGCTTCTCTATAACTCAAAAGTATCAACGACTCTTGGCAATATTTTATAGAATTTTCATTGCAAAAGGCAGTAATTTGAAAAATTAAATCAAGTTCAACAACATGCCCTCAATAGAGTGTTATACTGATACTGAAAAACCAAAATAGAAGAGAAAATTCAAAATAACTTTTTCCTACACACTAGAGTATGACAGATGGACACGAGGCTTAAAAAAATTGTCTGCCTTGAAAAATTATCTGACCTAAAGGATGTCTTTTTTCTTCATCTCCAGTTAGAATCATTCATTTCTACTGATTTCCCATTTTAACTTTCTAACAACTCAAGATACATTTTTTAGCCAAACAAAATCTCTCTGTTTCAGAGAATTCCTCTTTTCCTTTCTCCTCAGACATCGAAAGTACGAGGAGACTAGTTGAGGTTCTTCCTTAAGGTTAATAACCTTAAAATATCTCTCTATGGAGCAACTCTGCAATCTCACAGTCATCTTTTTGGTATTTGCAGTTTTAGCCATTAAAACGTGGGAGAGACAACAACCAGGCAATTCTGTAGAGGGTGTGATTGTTGCAGAATATTATGGGAGGACGGCGACTTCCCAGCCTTTGCTCTTGCTGTTCCCTGGCTTCACCCTCGCACCACGTCCAGCCGTTGTCTCCATGTGTGTTTGGCAGAGGGAGTGCTCAGCTGGTTGTTCCCATTCAGCACGTGGTCAGTGGCTCTAAGAGGCCTTTCCTAGCCAGACGTTAGCTCTGCCCACTCCCAGCTTTTCCTCATCTTGTTGCTGAACAATTACATTTCCCCCCTTGAGAGGGTTTATGCCCACTTCCTACAAAGAGTTCACAGACGTGACCCCAAATTCAATGGGCTGACACTCATTTAACCAGGTTAACTTGGAACCCTAATATTTATCGAGTCCAATTTGTACATTCCTTCAGCCTTCTTAGGAGGAGGAGAAGAGAACTCGGTGCCAAGCTCTGTGATCTCGTAACTCCTCACAACTCTGTGAAGTGAGCACCTTAGCCCACCTTGCAGGTGAGAAGTCTGAGGCCCCGGAGGTACACCACTTTCCCAGAGTCACCACAAGGGAGTGGAGAAGCGAAGATTCAACGTAGCTGCCGGTCTGCAAGGACTATGTTCTTTTCAGGACACCACTTAATTCCACATTTTGGCTTCAAAACATTCTCTTTTGACCCACTCGAGGTCATTTTAAAAAGCCAAAGAACAGAATATACATATTTTTTAAATGTCAAGCTTAGATTTAGATCTCCTGAGTCTTTTTCTTTCCTGGCTTCCCAGTGTTTAAAAGATGAAAGCAAACAATTATTAAACAAGGGAAGGAGCCACTTCATAAGGCTGTTCCAAAAAGGGTAAGACAAATCTCACACCAAAAAGTCAAAAGAGAGATGAAGAAAGAGAGGGAGGGAGGCAGGAAGGGAGGGGGAAAACTGAAGTAATAAATTGAAGAAAAACAAAACAAACATTCAAACCATTCCTGTATGACTCCTCCTAAGACAGTCTGTGCGATCCTCCAGACACGTAGAGGACGGCCTGCGAAGAGACCCCAGAGCAGCTGCTCTAACGTACACACTGCACTCGTGAGAGCCCCAGCTCAGCCTGACTCTCATCTGACCGATAATTCAGGTTCAGAGCACGAAGAGCGGTCATCTAGGAGCAGAGGGTAACGAACACAGGCACCACTGGCCACGACGTTGGGGAAAGCAATTATTTCATCACAGAACCATTAATTCTCTATTGTCAGGGATGATGGAGGAGAAACTTGGATGAAAAACTCCACAGAGTGGACGCCTCAGCTGACATTTATTTTTGGTTGTAGAATACCTTCTGGGAGTTTAGGACTTTGCTAATTAAGTCTAGATTTGGCAAATAAGACCAAATTTGGTTTTTGCAATTGGAAGCCTCACTCCTGGAGAAGAGGAGAAAAGGAGAGGTAACAGGCAGCCAGCGGAGGCCTGGCCTGAAGGCTGAGTCACTCTGACTCTCCTCATTAATTGCTGAGGGAGGACACTGTCGCCACACTGGGACTTGGAGCCGACAATTTAGAATCCTCTGAGCTGCCTACCTTTCCAAATGACCAGTTGCTTCCCAAATGCAATGAATGACGTGAAAAAAATCTGCACATTGGTGGGACTGAAAACCAGCACTCCTCCTCAAGAGAAAAAGTGGCCCATCCATTACAACCAGAAGCTAGAACAGCATAGATATTCCATTGCGGAAGAATGACAAAGCAGATGGTGGTACATTAACGCAGTTGTGAGGAAAGGCTATGTGAAGCAAGGACGAGCAAAAAAAAAAACCAGAGAAAAGCAGAATTTACAATCCTGTGCCCATATAACACTATACTTGTGTAAACCATGGGGAAAGGACTAGAGTTCATTAACAGTGCCTGGGGTTTGGGCAGTTTTTCAGGTGTCATGTGATGTTGGGAAGTGTTTCTGGTTGGATCTCACACTGAGATGACTAAAGAGATGATTTAAAACCGCAAACACACTGCACGTCCTCGAGGGCTGTGCCCCTACCTGTGTCCATCTCGTCCACGTTGCTGAGAAAGTCCTCCGGGGTCGTTGGCACGCTGTAGCATCCTAAGCCCAGGCCACTGTCAGTGCTCTGCTCCCTTGAATGATACGGCCCTCTGGAGAGCAAAGGACAGACACTTCAGAGTCAGCGCACGAAGGAGAGGGTGAAATTAAAATACAGTCACGAAAACCCTAAACTGGTGCAGTTCTCTCATTTCTGCCCAACTTCGCAGGAAACGAAGAGAGGCCGACTCTGCATCTCCTTTTAATTTTGAGACATACATCCCAATGTCAATGAGATTAATAAACTGTAAGCTAATAAAACTGGCCATTCATAGTAAATTGACATTGATTTCCTTTTCATCTCAAAACAATCTGAACACTCTTCTACACACAGAGTAGGATACCATTTATGTCAATTTTAAAAAACAGAAAACAATGCTGAATATTGCTTCTGGATGCACACACTGACAGGCAATGAGAAGTATAAAAATACATGTAATGGACACACACCAATTTCCAAATAGTGGCTACCACTAGGGAGGGAAGAAGGGAAAGAAACAGATTTCAGTGGTGGTTGGGATAGGTTTAAATATTAATTGTAATGCTTATTGTTTAAAAAAATAAGATCAATGGAAATATGGCAAATCTGGGTGCTGGGTACATGGATAAATCTTATGTTATTCTTTATACTTTTCTGTATATTTGAAATACTTTTAAATCAACAATTTAAAAACTCCTTTCCTTCATTATTTGGTTACTGTTTGTTTTCATCTCTCTCTCTATTTTCAATAACTTTCATAATTGTATTTATTTGTTTGCCAGAAGCCTCTGCAGGGGCAGGAAAGACACAGGAAACAGAGAACTGCCCTTTGTTTGGCTTTAAAAGGCTATAATTAAGGTTGACTACTTCTACTCATGAAGACATTTCTGGCTAAATTATCTTTTTCCTTCTGCTCATATGTTTCATATTTTAAAACATCATCTCTTTGTTTTAATTAATTTCTTTATTGTGAAATAATTTTAGACTTGCAGAGAAGATGTAAAAAGAGTTCAGAGTTCCGTGCACCCTTCACCCAGCTTCCCCGAGGACACATTACATAACCGTAGGTCAACTATCAACACCAGGAAATCACCATTGTATAACACTATTAACGGAACTATTGACCTTATTCACATTTCACCATAAACATCATCTCTTAATTGTTTTGCTCTCTATTTGTCACATGACATGCTTTTATCCCCCTGTTGGCTACCTAAAACCACAAGATTCTTTCAAATAATTGCTACACACCGCCATCCCACTGAAATGATAAGTTCATTCCCATTTTCAAATGATTGACTAGAGGTTCACTCCATGCTATATCATCAATATTTAAATTTGAGATTAAAAACAAAAAAAGGTAGATAACTTCCTCTGCTTTCCTTTTTCTGTCACTTTCCTCCTCTTCCTCCATCTATCCTCACCCCAACCTCCAAGCTCCCCATCTTTTCCCAACCTAAACAAAGACCCATCACACTCTAGACCACACAATAAAGAAAGCAAAAATGAGTGGCCTCAAAACGGTAACTTACCCATTGAGGAAAGGATCTGAGCTATTATTAGTAATGGATCTCATGTCTGGGGTCATGGCGGGCGGGTTGACGGCAGCCTGAACCGAGGCCAGAGTCTCACCTTCCATGGGGAGCTGTCTACAGAGGGCGGCTTCCTACAGAAAGACAGACGCAGGGAGAGGCAAGAGTTCTTCACTCATTGTCAGACTGGACCAAAGTATACTTCACGTGAAAACTTACACCGAAGACAAAACACTGTATGTTTACTCCCAGTAAGTCAACATCACCAGGAAATCATTAGTGTTCTTTCTCTGAAGAAAGTCACTTTCTCACATTCACAAGGTTAATGAGAAGCTCAGCTAACATTTGCCCTCAGGGCACTGACGTAGCAACTGTCCCACCCACCCAATTGTTTAAATATCCAAATCATACAAAGGCCTCTCAAGACACTTTCTCAGAGACTAGGCTATTTTTATCCCAGGTGCTCAGACCAAATCTAAGTCAATGGAAATGACTGGACTCCTCTGGACTAGCAGGTACATTCTGGTCTCTGCCACTCAGAGGCCAGTAACGCTGTGGGATTGCAGACTTCAGACTCGACACTAAATCACATCTGGCAGTTTTTTGTCAACAGCCAGGAGGCAAAACAATCAGTCAAAATGTTTGTTAGTCAATCAGTTTTTCTATTTGACTAATTTTTTTGTTAACTGGACTAAAATGGCTGAAGGTTGGGGACCATGCAGATCCAATCCAAACCCACTGACGACTGTTTGATAGCATCTGGACTTCATTAGCAAAAATTAGAATGCTAGCTTTATTTTTTTTAAGCTAGCATTGCTTTGCCAAGGGGAGTCCATCCAAAAGGTTACGAATTTGACTGCAATTACTTTCTCTAGGTACAACCTTCAGAGAGTCTTTCCCATTTTGACAAACATGACCAGACATCAAATTTCTTTCAAATTTGCTGCTGTTTCCAGAGAATACTTTTGTATGTTTGTACTTGTATCCAAAACCCAAGTGAGGCCCGTCCCATATTTATGCCTATCACTTTCCCACTTTCCAGGCTGAAGTCATTGGTCTCACCATCCCGCAAACCCCAAATCCATGGCTACAACGGCAAACAGAATATTTAGGTCATCTAAGTTACAGTATCTTCGTTAGATCTCTCCCAGCCCTAACACACTATGATTTTAGAGAGTAACTGCTGTCTAGACAAGTCTAGTGAAGTCATTGGCTATAAAAACTTTGGGTTACTCGAGTTCGTTGTACTGTTACTAGGAGTTATGGTAGCGTGGCTCTCATAAACCATGAGAGAGCTGATTGATAAGAGACTGCATTGTTAACTTGGACTGAAATAAATACCCTGTCTAGAAAGGGCTCCTGGTTCACTTCTGTTCATCCAGATTGCAAATAATCAGAATACTTAGTTAACACAAATTTTATTCACTAATCCATAAAAAGCAAACAAAAAGATTTTAGTCCGTAATCCCAATCTTCGAAGTATCTTCTGAATAAATCGAGAAAAACTGAATTATTTCCTTATAGTTGTTTTTTACATGGCAGGCAGTGTGCATTAGAAACCTTATTCTTGGGGCCGGCCTGGTGGCGCAAGCGGTTAAGTGTGCGCGCTCCGCTGCGGTGGCCCGGGGTTCGCAGGTTCGGATCCCGGGTGCGCACCGACGCACTGCTTGGCAAGCCATGCTGTGGCGGTGTCCCATATAAAGTGGAGGAAGATGGGCACAGATGTTAGCCCAGGGCCAGTCTTCCTCAGCAAAAAAAGAGGAGGACTGGCAGATGTTAGCACAGGGCTGATCTCCTCACAAAAAAAAAAAAAGAAAGAAACCTTATTCTCGAACCAAAGCTGACCTGAAGGTCTCATAGGGAAGAAAAACAGTATTGAACCCGGGGGGAGGAGTTCTGACCCACTTTGAGTGGGCTGACACTTCTTCCTGGTCAGCTGTCACCTTGGAGGAAATAAACCAAAGTGTGAAATTCATCATGAGGCAGCACGGCTAAGGAAACGATTTCTTTTTTTAACTAGGAGAGGTTTGTAAACCTTTTCTTATAACATAAAATTAGTTTTCATCATAAAGGGAGAGTGGTGAGAAGTTTCATCTCAATTATACTTTATAATAGTTCTATATTCAGAATTTTTAAAAGTCTAGCCTTTTTTTGAATGAAAATATTTTCCTATTTCTGCTCATGAATTGAGGAAGAAAAAAAGCAATACAAAATCTAAGGTTTGGAAATAAAAGAAGTAACCTCACTAACACATTCCCATCCAAACCAGGGAGGATTTAAAAAAAAAAAAGGAACAACTAAATTTAGGTACAAAATTAATCCCCAGACTCAGTCTGATTTTGGCGGCCACCGGACATCTGCTGCCCTTGCACGGCAGAAGAATGAAAGCAAACACCTGACTTTTCGTTTGATGGAGAAGCAGCGGTCAAGACTGATAGGAGTAAGAGAGCTGGAGCAGAGACAGAAGATGGGGCACCGGACCAGGTAAGCCAGCTAGTAAGAGGGGGACAGCCAGCCAGGGCTGGGCCAGGGCGGGACTCAGGTCTCCACTCGGAGAGCTGGTGGTGCAGCTGCCCGCAGCCCGCGCTCCATCCCCGCTCCCTCTAGTCCAGGCAGGACAGCCAACGCCAAGCAGGAGGCACATCCAAGCCCCTCGGTCTGTTTCTCATCGCCCAACTCTGCTCCTGTTCCCCAGGTCTATTCACAGACCTCTTCCCAGTGTCCCCTCCACGCCCACCACCCTGTCCTCCCAAACAGGTCTTCAGTTTCCCAGACTCCTCAGTACTTCCAGTCCTCCCTCATCTAGTCCTACCTCACCCACCCTTAGCGGTTCTGTTACATCTGTTTTCCAGATGCCTCCCCTGACCACCATAACCACAGCAAGCCACCACCGTCCCCCTCTCCCAGCCCCGAACTCCTAAATAAACGTGTCCAGCTGGGGTCTGAAACCCCACGTCTCACAACGCACTCCTCACCTGGCCCCAAAGCAGCCCTTCCTACTAACTTCAAGCGTTCTCTTCATGCCGTCACCACCTCTCCCAGCTCAAAATCTGAGTCAACTGACTCCCTCAGCCCCCACAACAATTCATTCATTCATAACTGTATTTATTTTTTTTAAATACTATGGTGACTACAAGATGCAGGTACTGTTCTCAGCAGCAGGGATACAGCAATGAACAACACAGATAGTGCCCTACCTCATGGAGAATTCTGCAGGGGGAGGCAGACTATAACAAATAATGATGGACGAGGGCCAAGCCTTGTGGCTTCCATCTCCCTGATATCTCCATGCTCCAAGGCTCCTTTCCATCTTGAGTTTCAGAACAGCATTGCTTCTCTAGATATTCCAACTGGCCTGCCTACCTCCAGTCAACCTCGACGTGAAGGTTGCGTCCAGGTCTCTGTTCCACACGTTGCTGAGGTCTTTATAAAGAGTGACCAGAGGAGAAAAATCAGGACGGGAGGGGTCTGGGTGTCATGTCCTACGAAGAGGCAGGGGACTGTTTAACCAGAAGAGAGACTTGAGAGGCACACCTTACCTCTCAAACTATTAATGGACTATCACATGAAAGAAGGAAGAGTCCTTCTACCCCAGATTTGAGGCAGATATGCCGAAGAGCTTCCTAGTCAGCAGTCCATTCAGTGGTGGAACTGGCTCTTCTCAACTCTCTAGGCTACTGGCCACTGGAATTCCCAAGCAGTTGTTGAAGGTTAAATGCTATGAGTCATGTTCAGGGACAGAAAAGGCAGCCTGACACAGGAGAAAATGTGTCTGTGGAATCGGAAAGACTGGAGTTCAAATCCCAGCTCAGCTACTTCCTCGCTACAACACCTTGGACTAAATTCTTAACCTTTCTTCATAGTTTGTTCATCTGAAAAGAAACAGCTTATAAGACTCATCTTGCTGGGCTGTTATAAATATTAAAAAGCATGTTTATAAAGAACCTGGAACAGTGGGCAGCTGGTAGAATGAGCTACTGATAGCGTGAAATATTTTAGGAGGCAGAGATATTAGCTAACACTTGCATGTCGCTTACTATGTGTGAAACACCGTTCTAAGCATTTTCATGTGTTATTCCATTTCATCCTCGTGACAACCCAATTGTCTCCATTTTACAGATGAGGAAACTGAGGCAGAGAGAAGTTAAGTAACTTTCCCAAGACCTGGCTCCAGAGTCTGTTCTTGGAGCCACCACACAGATTGTGGCAGAGAGAGGAAACCGAGGGTGGAGGTTGGCAGACCTCAAACCTTTGGCCCCTCCACCTACTGGCTGTGGGACTTAGACAAGCTATTTCATTTCTCTGAGCCTGTTTTCTCAGCTATAAAATGGAAATACTAACCCCCTTCCTTCAGACAGTTTAGAGGAGGATTCAACGAAACAGCCTGTTTAACTGTCCTGAACACAGGTTCCCTCCTAGAATGGGGAGAGAGGCTGAACTGGAAGCATTCTACCATCCTTTTCAACGTATACGGGTGGAGCTAGCGTCCTGGGAATTCACAACCCATCAAGCAAAGTTATAAGCTCAGATTTTAAAGGCCAGTTTCAGAAAGATCTGGAAAGCTGCCCCTAGTCACCCCACCCCTACCCTCCTCCACTGCAACTTTATTTTTTCTCTAGATCCAAGCTGGGGGTGGAAACGCTGCTGCAAAATAAGGGCTCGAGAACCTCTTTCGGAGTTTGTGGTTGTCCATCCAGCTCCCTGAAACGAACAATTATGTATGGGTTAAAAAAACACCCTCTCCTAGCAGCTGCGGGAGAGGTGGCGTGTGAAATAGCTGTGAGGGTGAGGGATGTGGAAGACAAATGCTGAGCTGTAAGTTGAAGGCGTCCCTGGAAGCAAACCTCAAACCTCCTTTCCTTCCAGCCCCCTTGGCCTGCAGCTTGCCTGTGGAATAAGTCAACAGAGGAGGTGAGAAAGTAAACAGCAGTTAAAAGCATCCTGCAGCCCCGTCTGTCTGTCCTCGGCTGAGGGAGCCTCCCGCCAGCCAGCTCCTGCCCTCACCGGAATGCACCTCAAAGAGAGAAGAGTGACAGTACCCTCTTCTGAGGCTGCTCTGCCTGATGTGTGTGCAGCCAGGAGCTCTACAAAAATGGAAGATTGGATTGTTTCAATTATAAAGGGTGGGGTGGGT